AGGGCCTTCAAGGAAGGATATCAGTGGGTATGTGCGATGTGCTACGTGCCATGAGATACATGCCACACATCCCCCCCCCACCCCCCTCTCTCCACCACCTCTCTCTCTCTCTATGCATATGCAATGTCGCTGGCTGGATGCTGATTTGATTGATTTAATGATATCAATACAGCCACAAAGCCACCACACATAGAGGGAGAAAGGGAGAGGGGGTGGTGCGGAGGGAGGGACACGACCCAAGGGAGGTCAAGGTTTTGAATTTCCAGTGCGCATTGGATGAAAATTCTATTAGGACCGTACGGTGCCGCCCACAATTCCATCGATCGAATGAGGGAATGCTTTCCTCGATAATTGTTGCCTCTGCGTGGAAATGGAAATCAATTTCATGCATGCGAGATTATGATGGGATGATGGAGATTGTACGAGATGCTCTCTCTCGCACGAGACACGCAACGGAAGGCAGCTTGTAATTTTATCGGAAGAGAGAGGAGTCGGAGTCCCTCCTGTGAAAATTGTTTAAGCATTTTCCACCCATTCTAGTCACGCATTGCTGCTGCAGCTGACGAGAAATGAAATTCTCAATCGTCCATGAACTCTTTTTTCCCCCCCTTGCCCCCTTGTCGTGTGAGGATTTTCTGTTTGGGGTGTGAGATTCCTCCCATGGACAACGGCGCGATGTTTACTGCGTAGTTTTTCCAGCATTTTCCCCGCATGCAGTTCCTGAGACACGTTTCAAGTACGCAGCGAAAGCGAAAATGAAAACAGTGCGCAATTTTTACCGCCACACGTGCCGCCCCTCCCTCCCCAAGGCGGACCGAGGGGCTAGATGGCGGAACCTTTGTTCCTTATCATCTCTCAAGCGGACATTATCATTGCTTTGCTTTTTCCCGTGCAAAAAGCTTAGACTTTTCACCTAATAACCGTCGCAAATATGATGAAAATGTCGACAGAAATTTCACTGAAGCGGCACAAAAAATGTAATATTTCTGAGATGATTAAACCCCATTGGAAAAATCAAAGAAAAATCTAATATAAATATATTTTTACATGATAAAAAGCAATGAATATTTATTTAAAAAAAGCAAGTGAGGAGGTTTCACTTTCGCAGGCTTTTCTTTGTAAAAGAAATACCCACGGAAAATATTCAGCGTGATACGAGTAGAGCAGCGATGTTGTTTTTGGATTCGTGGGAACGAGCCTCGCTTCCAGTCTCGAACAGGAGTCATGCACACGCCTGAATGTTGTTTTGGGCTTTCACGAGGTCGGGGCGTTCTCCGCATTTTCGGCTGGCTTGAGTCGGTTTTCGAGGAGCAAATCTGGGATTAATGGAAGCGATGACAGCTAGGTTTAGACGAAGCCTCCAAATCGTAAGGAATACATTCCCTTTGCCTATTTTCTAGTCTTTTTTCCACGATTATCGCTACAGAAATACGTATCAGCTTTCCATGCAACCTACGTTGGTATATTTACATTTACTTGAGTGGAAATAGCAAATAGTTGATTCTCAATTGACACCAAACAGCAGCTGTCGGAGCAAATATCTATTCAGCTATCAATTGAAACATATTCATTAAATATTTGCACTTGACGCCAGTCCCGAGAACACTTAAGGAACAATCAATAAAGAAAGACGTACATTAAAAGGGGTTCCCTATAAAGATTGTGGCACTTGAATGAGGAAATATCATTAACATATGAAATGCTAAAGATATTGATATCGATAAAATTGGTCTTCAACGGGCAGATTGGGTTACGTGTAGGTCAGGGTTTTGGCCCGACATTAAACCGAAACAAAGCGACAATTGACGACAATCGTTGGTAGCATTTACAAGTCTCGAAACAGTTTTGTGGCTTATTGATTGTCTTGAAAAAAAAGGAAGAAAAAAGACACGCAATGGACATGCGTCCGGAATACATCGTAGCAAGAGGAAGAGAGGAACGAAAGAAGAGCGCCCTGTGGCATGTGGCATGAAGTGTGGAAACGGAATAGAATTTCCCCCCCGGCTTGACCGAGGGTCGAGGGGCGAGGGTCGAGGCGAGTGGCTTAGTCATTAGATGGCCTGGCCGAAACGATGAGTGGTGGCCCACTCTAAGCGGCGAAAAATCGTACAAATGCCAACACGAAAACAACAGCGAAACAAAGCAAAGCAAAACAAAACAAAAGCGAAGAGGAGAATAGAGAAAGAGAGTGAAAAAGTGGCGAAAACTTGTCTCATTATAAATTGCGAGAGGCGCCGCCCTGTGCCGAGAGCACCCTGTGCCACAGGGTATTATGGTTTTTGAAAGGTGTTTGATTTTCGATCAGCAAAGGAAAGCCAAAGAAATGTGGCATTGGTCTGTAATATCACAGATCCATTACCCAACGTTCACATGTGAATGGCAATAATTCGTAAAAACAGCTGATTGCGTGTTACAGCTGTTTTTTCCCCCTTTTGATGCCTTTTTTGTGGTTCCCTTGCAAAATATCCCGAATCTCTCTCTGTTTGTGTGATTCGAAACGAATGTATCCGTTCGTTTATGGAACATTTTGTGCTTCAAGGGTATCCAGCGACTCGGCCATTTCCTCTTGGGTTATTGTTTCTTCTATGATGAACTTTTTTGGCCCTCACTACAATGTTTTATTGTTGTTTTTGCTGTTGAGTAAATAATGTCATAAGGTCACACACACACACACACACAGGGACACCCCCTCCCATTAAAGGGGGGGGGGGGGGGGGGCACTCCCAGGCCTAATGGTCAGCCATTCATCGCGCTGCCAATGTCCATGCCGATGCCGATGCTGTTGTTGGTCATTTGTCTCGGGGCTGGGCACACCCTCCTCCCCCTCCCCCTCCCACCTTTCATTTTATATAAAATATCATGGAATAAATGAATGGAATGGACGCTATCTCTCCCGATCTATCCGATATATTTAATGCCACGATGGGGTCCTCTGTTTGTTGTTTTGTTTTGGAGAGGGGCTCGACCTCCCACGGCGAAGGTTATTCAGATAAATTAAACCAAAGACACTGCGAAAACCAACGGCCACACAACTTTTCTGTGTAAACAAGCTGATGAGGTGTACGATGTACATATGTATATGTATGTACATATATGTGTACATAATGTATATGTATTCTGTGGAAAATTCAATTCAATTGTGAATCGCAAAAGGGGGGGTGCCCAGGGTTCGACTTTCAGATACCCAATATTTTATTGTACCTATTTTGGATAGTAAGGATTTTTTTACATCTGTATCTTAACAAAAAACTAGATATTTTTGTTTAAAATAAATGTAAAAAAAATGTTTTTAACACAAAACACAAAAAACATTAAAAAAAATTTCAAACAAGAATTTTAATAGTTTTTTTAAATTTTTTTTTAAAATTGTATTCAAATTAAAAAAAAAATGTATTTTAAAAAATAAATAACCAAACAATTGTAAAAATTAAAAAAAACTATGTAATATTTTGGAATTTTATAATTATCTTTTTATAATGATTTTTGGAAAATAGGTAGAACAGATAATAGTTTTTTTTTTTTAATGTTAGCTCCACTAAAAAAAGCCATTTATCTTTTAAATTGTGGAAGCCGCAGGTACTTTTGACATTTTACAGTCCTCAAAAATTGTCTGATTGTGATGATTTTTAGCAGATGGGTGGATAATATCATTATATGAAACGCTACGAGAAAGAAAGAATGTATCTTTGAAATTAAGGAAATTACAGATATTTCACTCTTTGCTTTAGAAACCGAGTACGAAAGAAAGCTCGCAAGAGCCCATCATATTTTGCAGCTGGAGAAGGTATTTACGGGGTAGGTTCTGGTCTTTAGGGGAATCGAACAAACCCTCGCCTCGCGTGGATATACCCTGCTCTCGCCCCTTAACGCTGTATGGAAAAAAGGCAGCTGGGCAAACTTTTTCTGTGTATGCCACCCCTCCCCTCTCTCCAGCCAGTTCCGGTTGGCCAACACACACAAACACTCGATGTAGCGACGCGCCCACGCATCAGCAGCGGCAGCAGGCGGGCAGGCAGGCAGGCAGGCGGGCAGGCAGGCGGGCAGGCTGGCGGGCAGGCAGGCAGGCAGGCAGGCAGGCAGCTGTTGGCCAAGTTTGATCGCATTTACCTGTTTGTCACTCATACGCCTTGTGGTTCCTGTCTCTGTGTGTGTGTGGGCCATGTTTAACATGTTTTTCACTTGGGAATTGACTGCAGGCCATGGACTGCTCGCATGGCATCCGAGGTGTTTGACTTGCATTTTTGTGCGCAAATTTGTGTGCCTCCCGAGTGCCCCTCTCCTCCACTGCGCTGGAAAATTGAAGTTCATGCAAATGAAGCCTCCTCCTGTGGCTCCTGGTGCGTCCTTCATTTCTGGCTTCATTTCCGCTTTACATTTCCTTCGCGTAGAGACAGCCGCCTGCCGCCCCTAACTAGTGTTTCCGGTCAATGGCTTTACCGGGGGAAAGGCATCCTAAATGAGATTCAAAATGGAATGTGTAAATTTAATTAAACGCCGCGGCGTCTGCTGCCATTTGCCACAAGGATTGTGCGGCTCCTTCAGCCATTTGCCGCAGGGATGGTGCGGCTCTGAGGCAGAATGGTTTTCCCCCTTCCAAGAGGGGGCATGTTAATTGTCAGGATTCTGGCCAGTCATCAGTCAATCATTCAAAAGCCCAAGCATTCGCCTGGCAACCCCACCCCATCGGGCGGTGCTTCCCTCTTCTTGGGGCCCCTGGCCCCTTATCCGCCTATCAGTTATCTCTTATTTGTCAGCACAAAGAAATCACAGTCCCCGAACACACACACACACACACACACACACACACACACACACACACACACACACACACACCTGTAATAAAAAAGAGCTACGATTAGATATAACCTTCATATATTTTATATTTTTTATCAAAATTCTGCCTCGGTTTTCGGTTTGTGGTTTTTCCCCGCCCCTCCTCCCAGCTATCTATCCGACAAGCCTTTTAATGTCAATTCCGTTTACTGTATTTCCATTTGCAGTGCATGTGATGCCAAATCAAAAGGAAAACACATAAAATATAACCAAGCAGCAGCAAAAGCCAAGAGCGCAAAAGGCCAGTGTCCGCAGAGAGAGAGAGACAGAGGAATATGTGAAGGATTCAAACCATAAATCGATGTGCCATTCAGGAGCAGAAGCAGAAGCAGAAGCAGCAAAACCTAGAAGCTAAGACGAGACGCGAGAGTATTAACCACAAGAGAAGGCGCAACAGTGCAACAATCCCTCCAGCAACAAAGAACCTGAAAGCAGCAGCAGCAGCAGCAGCAGAAGTGGCAACAAACAGAACGTAAATCTAGAAACAGGTGAGTGCGATTCTAAAACGTTTTCAAGGGGAGAAACTAATGAATATATTCTCATGTTTTCTGGCAGTGTAAATACAACTGTAACGAATTTAAAGCAAACAAAAAAGCAGACAACACACTTGATGTCCCCCCCAGACGCTCGTTGATAGATGCCAAGATAAGTCGCTACCGTTTCAACACCGCCATCAACATCACCCAGCAACAGAAGCAGCAACAACTGCAACAGCAACAGGCGCAACAGCAGCAGCAACAGCAACAGCAACAGCAGCTACAGCAGGGCATACAGAACAGAGAGAAGCATCCGCCATCCCATCAGCATTTGTTGCCATTGGAGGAGCAGCAAAGGAGCAGCGGCAGGACAACAGCAGCAGCAGCAGCCGAGCAGGAGGAGCTCTGCATAGGCGGCACCGCAACCGGCAGCGGCAGCAGCAGCTTAACCAAAGGTCGAGGAAACAACTGCAAGACGCCAAACTCTACTGCAAAAGTCGCCAACATAACACATAAAATTTTCGGTTGGCTACGCAAATCGCGAAACAAACGGCCAGTCGAGATCCTAACAAGCGATTTCGAAGGCGAAGACGGCGACGGCGACGAGGGGGAAGGAGGAGCAGGAGCAGGAGCAGGAGCAGGAGCAGGGGCAGGAGCAGCACCTGGGAGTGCAGGTGGGTCAGGTGCAGCGGGTGGTGCAGCCGATCATCAGCAATTTTCAGTGGCAAACGTTCGATACAAAGCCGGCAAGCTGAATACCACACAGACAGCCACGGAGACCACCACCACCGCCATCGATTCAAACGAACCCAAATCTGAAAAGATGTCATCGGGGGGCACGTTTGTGGATCGAATCGACCCGTTCGCCAAACGTTCACTCAAAAAGAAGGGCAAAAAGAGTCAAGGTTCCTCGCGCTACAGAAATTCACAGGATGTTGAGTTGCAGCAATTGCCGCCGTTGAAAGGTACGCTACTCCCTGATCCCTGATCCCTGATCCCGAAGGATGTCCTGGTTAATAATAATTCCCTGCCTTTTGTTTTGTTTTGTTTTGTGTTTCCGATAGCCGATTGCTCCAGCCTCGAACAGGAGGAGCTGTTTATACGAAAGTTGCGTCAGTGTTGCGTATCATTTGACTTTATGGATCCCGTGACGGACCTCAAGGGCAAGGAAATCAAGCGGGCGGCACTCAATGATCTATCCACCTATATAACGCACGGGCGCGGTGTGCTCACGGAACCCGTTTATCCGGAAATAATACGCATGGTACAGCCAATCGGAGGAACTAATCTTTTATGAGGAAATATCATATTAAATCAAACATTTTTGTACACAGATTTCTTGCAACTTATTTCGCACACTGCCGCCCAGCGAGAATCCAGATTTTGACCCGGAGGAGGATGATCCAACATTGGAGGCCTCGTGGCCACACCTACAGCTGGTGTATGAGGTGTTCTTGCGCTTCCTCGAATCGCAGGATTTCCAAGCAACCATTGGCAAGCGTGTGATCGATCAGAAGTTTGTCTTGCAGGTGCGCACAGCTCTTCTTCTCCTTCAAGATCATGCCTATAACACGACCTCTTCTATTTGACAGCTCTTGGAACTGTTCGACTCTGAGGATCCACGCGAGCGTGACTTTCTCAAGACGGTGTTGCATCGCATCTACGGAAAGTTCTTAGGTTTACGCGCTTTTATACGAAAACAAATCAACAACATATTCTTGCGATTCATCTACGAGACGGAGCACTTCAATGGTGTGGGCGAACTCTTGGAAATACTCGGCAGGTGCGTTCGAAAAGTAGTTTATTCCTTCCCTGCTCCCTTACTAATGGCAATCCTCTGATATGCAGCATCATCAATGGCTTTGCCTTGCCACTGAAGGCCGAGCATAAACAGTTTTTGGTCAAGGTCCTGTTGCCGCTGCACAAAGTCAAATGCCTGTCTCTATATCATGCACAGCTGGCATATTGTATTGTACAATTCCTAGAGAAGGATCCATTCCTTACCGAGCCGGTGGTGCGGGGCCTGCTCAAGTTCTGGCCAAAGACGTGTTCCCAAAAGGAGGTCATGTTCTTGGGCGAAATCGAGGAGATACTTGATGTGATCGATCCGCCGCAGTTTGTCAAGATCCAGGAGCCGCTCTTCCGGCAGATTGCCAAATGTGTCTCGAGTCCACACTTTCAGGTACGCGACAGGACATCCCGAAATTGAGCGTAGACTGAACGTATTTTCGTGTTTTTTGGTGATTTGCAGGTAGCTGAACGCGCTCTATATCTGTGGAACAATGAGTATGCCATGTCGCTGATTGAGGAGAACAATGCGGTGATCATGCCGATCATGTTCCCGGCCCTATACCGCATCAGCAAGGAGCACTGGAACCAGACCATCGTGGCGCTCGTCTATAACGTATTGAAAACATTCATGGAAATGAATTCAAAGCTGTTCGATGAGCTCACCTCCAGCTACAAGGCAGAGAGGCAGAAGTATGACCAAGTTCCTCTCGTTGGAATAAATATATTAATAATATTTGTAATTGTTTCCGCACAGGGAAAAGAAACGTGAACGCGATCGCGAGGAGCTGTGGAAGAAGCTGCACGAACTCGAATCGAATCGTTCCAATGGGCGCACCGCAGGCGGCAGCGCAGCTGCGAATGCATCGAACAGCGCATCATCATCCAACGCGGCGGCGTCCACGTCCTCCCAACTGCAGCCACCATCCATCAGCACAGCCGCCATTAACTCTCATCAGCAGCAGCAGCAGTCGAATAGCAGCAGCAGCGGCAGTCTGTCCAGCGGCGGCGCCGGCGGCGACAATAATCCTGCGACCACAAATGCAAAAATCAAACAGGATAAGGCGGATAACTAAACGGGCAAAGCACAAGCGAACGCAAGGCATGCGCCCGAAAAAACAAAACTAACAATAAACGAGAGCCGTAGAGCGCAGTCCGTCGGCTAACACGTAAAAGCATCTCTGTCGTTCCACATCCCACACGTAAGAGACAGACAGACAGACAGACAGAGAGAGGGAGGGAGGAAGGAAGGAAGGAAGGAAAGAGAGGCGATAAATAGTTATACTAAAAACAAAAACACATACATATGCTAAACTTTAAACACAAGAAAATATGAAACTAAACACTAAAAAAAATGTATACTCGATTGACGAAGACACCAACCAAGCGGACATCAGCGGAGGAGGAGGAGGAGAAGGAGGATGCTTGAGTGGCTGTTGAGAGGCAGAAGGATGGAAAGGAGTGGAAAGCGGAAACGGAAGTGAAAGCGATAGCCCTGTCTGTGTGTGTGTTATGTTTAGAAAGCCGAAGCTTCGTCGAGTGCGGCATCAATGGAAATCTATATAAATAATATATCTTACACCTAAACAAACGACACGACACACACACACACCCACACACCCACTCCCACACCACACCACACCACACATAAACACCCGCGCACACACACACAGACACACAAATACACCCCCACAGACACATATAAATATATATATTAAAACAAAACAAAACAAAAGAAAGAAAATATTATTAATTACGTTTAAGCATTAAAGAAAAAGAAAACCCAAGTTGAATAAAGAGAAAAATCATGTTAGTAAGTGAAAAAAAAAGCAGAAGAGAGCCGATAACTATAACTATAACTATGATTGATTGATTGATTGATTGATTGATTGATGATTGATTGTTGAAGTAGATGAAAGAGCATTGAATTATTATTAATTAACAACTAAAACATACTACTGCTAACTAGAAGACCCTAACCCCTACCCTAGCATATAGATCAGCGCCATCCCATCCCATAACGAACCCAACCCTACCCCCAAAAACACTTACTAAAATATATATATATATCACCTAAATGTTCACTGTGTGTAAAATAGTTGAAAGCTGCGCTGCTCTGATGATTGAGTTTCCTGATTTTCCATTACACAGATTTCCATAGAACGAACGAACGAACGAACGGCGTGTCTTAGTCCCTGAATTGTATATAAAATGCAGCATCCATGCAAACGAAACTTTGTTACTTAGCTTTAAGTGTTGCACACACACACACACACACACAAAAACACAAACACATAGCCACTCCGTGAAGACTTCTCTCGAACATACAGAAAAATCCAATCATTTGAAAGCCCCAGCTTTTAGTACGTTGTTTTAGGAAGAGCAGCTGGCAGAAAATCTATGCATACGATTAAGAACAGAATTATATATATCCCCCCCATAATCGATGGATCTATATAGAGATGTATGTAAGGGAGGGAAAATATTATGAATTGTAAAAAACAACCAAGCAAATGTTAGTCTATATAGAAGAGCCACACGGTTATGGAAATTGAAAACTGTCATCTACTAAACGCGATATCTACATATATCCTATATCCATCCTAGACACCCACACACACAAGACGTTTCTCTGTGGAAAGCGGTCCAGCTTCAGCTTCAGGAAAGTCCTTTCGTTTCAATTTCTTCGTGGAAATGCGCACAATTGTCATTCGATTTGCTAAAAACAAAAAAACAAAAACAAGAATAATTTCATTTGTAAATAAATCTAGCTAAGGTGGAAAACAACAACTGTGGGGGGATGGACAACCAATGGACTGCTTTCCCCGGCCTCTCGAACACACACACACACGCACACACACACACATACACTCACTTAGGCGCACTCACTCATATATTATTGAAATAAAAAATATATAAAATTTATATATTAACAACAAAAAGAAAATATACTATACATAATGTATGTTTGTTCATTCAACTCTCACGCCCATTGCAAAGTATAGAAGCATGCATTATAGTACATATAGGAAGGAAGGAAGGAAGGAAGGAGGGAGAGAAGAGAAGAGAAGAGAACTAGGAGAGACAGGAGGAGGCGCAGATGAGATGCAAGTTCTACTAAAGAGGAATGAAATGTATCTCGTAATCGCGTACAGTTCATATAATATTAAAGATAATTGTGTCTGTGAATCGTGAGTTAATATACACCATATAATATAATGCAACAACTAAGAAAAACCTAAAAGAAAACATACAGCGTTAGCGTTATTATTATGAAAAAATATGTTTGTAAAACGTGAATGAGAATATGGAAGCAGCAGATAGCAGAGTGAGGGGTAAACCGAATCGTATAAAGGGGCGTCGCAGGAGAAAGAGAGGAAATTGAGGGAAGAACCCATACGGCCTAAATACTAAGCAACGTGTGTAAGAAAGTTTTGCATCTTTATATTAGCGTGTAATTAAACGAAATTAAAACCGAAAGCTAAAGAGCGAAAGCCCAAGGATAGCCATTGATAAGCAATAGACACTGAAGTTAGGTCTTAACTGCCTTTAAAGACGGAACACACAGAGACAAACCAAAAACCAAGAACAGGACCACAGGGAGAGTCCACACAGCAATATCGCGTAATTCCTAAGACCATAAAACACCCAGACTTCAGGCAGCACCACCACCCCCCCCATGGCCCAACCATCTCTAGTTAATGTTTGAAGAAGCTCACATAGGATGCCAATCAGAGGAAAAAAAAACAAAAACACAGCATTATTATATAGAGAATGATGAAATGTAAAAAAACAAATGTTGAAATGAAAAACGGATATAGAACTGTACTCGTTAAAGTCGAGCATAAGTGTCCCTTCAAGTAATGATTTGCGTTCCGTTTTGTATTCTTGTGATCGTCGTTTTCCGTTGCACCCTGAGTTAATCAATCGGTTTAGTATCTGTATCTGTATCTGTATCTGCTTTCAATAACTTGTATGGTAAACTTAACTATAGTTTCTATTATTGTATTTATATGTACTATGTATAAACTATAAATCGAGCATGTTAAAATGTAGTAGCCAGTATGTAGCTATGCTTAGGATCGGACAGATGATGATGATGACAGATCATGATGATGGTATAAGCAAAAAATGCAAAAGCAAAACTCGTTAAGTACTTTTAGAGACAACAACAAAAACCCTGTACTAAAGAAGTGTACTAAAAGAATAAAGTCGCATTAACAACGTTGCAAAAGGTAAACAAAAAAATTAAATAAAAAAATTAACTTAAAGAACAAGAAACCCCAAACCACAATAAGAGCAAAAAAGATAGTTAAAGCGCTTAAAAACAATTTAAAAACAAAAATACTATGGATACTAACAAATCGGATAAGTGGATGATGATGATGATGGAAGAGCATAAAGGATAATGGAAAAATGGAAAAATATATGTGAATTATGTACGTATTTTCTTATGTTCTAGACTTGTATAAAAGAAAAGAAAACCTATCTTATATGATGAATGAATATGATGACACATGCTATTATTATTAATCTTTTAGTTCTGTTCTGCAGGACAGTGTTGTGCGAGGATATTTCGATATGTTTTCATGGATTGAAGGCACACTGTACTACACACACACACACACACACACACACACACACACACACACAGACACACTCACACACACATGCATACACTCACTCATACAGGTACACAATCAATCACTCAATCACACAACTAAACAAAATCTTATGCTGAGAGTAAATATAAAGAGTAAATTATAATTACACACACGAAACAAGATATGAGAAAATAAATGGGAATAAATATATATATATATGTAGATTAATATACATAAATATATATTTAAACGAAAGTATATATACATTCGAAGCATTCGAAAAAACACACAATGGTTTTTTAGTTGAAGATTTGCTTTCGAAACTCCAGAAACAGAATGAAATGAACGCGAATGAAGAAGCAAAAACCTAAGGGCAAATAAATGCGCAGCAGATGAGCAGCATAAAAGTAAAACAAAACAAAAAAAAATTGCAAAAAACAAATATTTAGCTGCAAGCAGAATTAACCAAAAAATAAAAGGAATAAATGAAAAAAAAAACAAACAAAAATTAAAATATAACATGAGAAAAACACACAAGCAAAATGCATGAGGATGGACATGAAAGCGGCGCGAAAAGAAGCAAAGAGATCAATCAACAATAAAAAAAATTAATAAATACAAAATATAACAATCTATTTGGTTTTATTTTGAAAACTGTACAAGAGATGGGATGAAATGAGATGGTTGTGTGGCGGTCAGCTTTTGTATTTGGGCCTGAAAGCTCTTCATACCCTGTATTTGTAGAGTCGAAAGGGTATAGTCGTTTCGGATGAAGGTTGAAACGAATGTGTCCGTTCGATTATGGGCTAATTGTACAGGTAAACAATGTCATTGGGTCATTGAAACACCCATCTAAAATTATATAACTTTGATGTCGAATCCGGATGCTGAATCGTTTAAGCCTTGTCTTAGAGATCATTAAAAGCCTGTGGTAGCCTTATGGACTGTCGCTTTATCTAGCAAAATACCAAAAACCATAACTAATCTACTGAATTTCCTTTTAGAATATAGTATACAAAACAAGTCAATCTTTATTTCCACTAACCTTAATCTTTATCTGACACATCGCAAACACGTGACCAATAGGTGGCTCCTTCTGGTCGCTTTTATGTAGTTTGTAAGCTTTTGAGCTTTTGCAACATCGCCACAAAAGCTGGCAAATGCAGTTGGTCGCTGCCGTTGCAAAAGTGCAGTGCCGTCAAACGCAAAGCGAGAAAAATCAATTTTCAAAGTTTCCACCAACTCGTGGCCATCATCCTTGATGAAGTGGGAAAACTATTGTGATTTCGTGGCCGGATGCTTTGGAGGTAAGTTAATTGAAGCAGCAACTATAAGGGAAATCCAAGGAGTTGGGAGATGCACAACGAGAGATGCGGAACGGATGACGCAATGGCTGTGAGCCAGATGTGTGCCACTTGTTGAGAGAGCACCAGCCAACGGGCGCCATGGTCAAGTTCACGTGCGGCGCCCCTGATCCGCGAGGCTTATTTCTGTGTGCGGTGGTCGAATTTTTTGGCAGGCAGCAACATGCAACATGCTACATGTGCGCTGGTCATGCGGCATGATGGGAATTTTAATTAACATTTATTCTATGTACGGCCATCCGTTTGATCTCATCCGCACAGGTGCCTGCGGCGTGGTGGTGGCCCATCCGCTCGACACGATCAAGGTATGGCAGCAGGCATCCAATTCCTCCGTCCAGACGGCTGTCCATCAGATCTACAGACGCAACAATGGGGTAAGTACTTGGCAGAATGCAGGAGACTGGCCGGTCAGCAATCCTTTTAAAGATCAACGGTTTCTACAGGGGCATGTTCTTCCCATTCATCTCGACGGGGGCCATCAACTCGCTGCTGTTCGGGATCTATGGCAACCACCTGCGGCAGCTGCGGAAGGTGTGCCACAGCGACTACCAGCGGGAGCAGCTGGAGTACCACAACATGTTCCTCGCCGGATCGGTGGCCGGTTTCGTGCAGTCCTTCATCGCCTGTCCCATGGAGCTGATAAAAGTCCGCCTGCAGACGCAATGCTGTGAGTGCTTCAGTCATTCGCATTCGGAAAGAGTTTGATAAATCCTTCTGTTTCAACAGACTATAATGACTATCTTTATGGCCAGCGACGTACAGCCTTTGGCACATTCAAACGGATACTCAAGACTGATGGCCTCTCTGGCCTCTATCGGGGTCTCCTGCCCATGATGTGTCGGTTAGTACGAGAAGTCCCCTGAAAATGCTTCATCTAATTCTGTTTCCCACAGCGACGTCCTGCCCTATGGCATCTATATGCTGGCCTACCGTCAGGCCGCTGATTATCTGAACACACGAGACTTTGTGCGCAAGCGGCGTAGCCATCCGGATGGTTCGAATGTGAATCTGTTGATCACCACATTGGCCGGCGCCTGGGCCGGGGTTATCTCTTGGGTGTGTGTCATTCCATTCGATGTCGTGAAGACGCTGATGCAGGCCGACGAGAATCACAAATTCCGCGGCATCTTCCACTGTGTAAAGGTCAACTACAGAGCCTACGGATGGAGGAGCATCTTTCGCGGCAGCTGGATGCTGGTCGCCAGAGCAGTGCCCTTCAATGCGGCCACCTTCTTGGGGTACGAGTATGCCCTGGAGTGGTGTCATACGTACGATAAAAGGAGCCTATTTGCAAGTGATTGAGAGCTTTATCTAGTTTTTAAAATATTTATATTCATATTTACTGCACATTTATTTTGCTAATAAAACGATTTGAAGCATAATTTGAATTCAAAAGACAGTGGGAGTGCTGCAAAATACCTGTTAATGGCTGTTTATCGATTATCAACCACATCAAGCAATGAACCAATATCTATCAATTCATCAATCCATCAGTTCATCAATACATCATTCCATCAATCTATATATCCATCAATACATAAATCTATCCACCGATAAATCTATCAATCTAATCCATTCCATCAATCTATCAATCTGTCAATCTATCAATCCGTCAATCTACCAATCCAACAATCTATTAATCTATCAATCCATCAATCCATCAATCTATCAATCAATCAACCACTGAACCTAGATTGATAGATTGACAGATTGATGGAATGATATATTGGCAGATTTATAGATTGATGGATTGATAGATTAACAGATTGACAGATTGATAGACTGATAGATTGACAGATTGATAGATTGATAGATTGACATATTGATAGATTGATGTATTAATAGATTGATGGATTGATCAAATCAATGGATGGATTGGTTTATTGGTTCATGTTTTCATTGGTTCATTGATTTATTGGTCATTGGTTCATTAGTTGAGTGGTACATTGTTGTGCACCAAAATTGAGGCAAAAACAATCAAAGCAATCGCCGTAGTACGAAAACAAGTCAAGTACTTAAAACAAGCAAGTCAAGTAGAAAATTGATTCATTAATCGGATAAAATTATGTGGGCAGGGCTGAGATATCTAGATAGCTAGTAATATTCGACGGAATTTCAAAAACGGGGAATATGAAGAATTCGTCGGTATATTTTGAAAATGAGACCGTATATTTCCGTATTTATTTGAATCGGTTATAACCGGTAGGCAATATAAGTCCCATTTTAATCGGATAAAACTATGTGGGCATGGCTAAATTTCCTATCTAGCTTGTAATATTTGACGGAATATCAAAAACGGGGAATATGTATAAAATAATTCGGAGTTCGTCAGTATATTTACGGTATAATATTTTGAATTCAATGGTATATTTGTGAGAGTCAGATGGTAAATTTTATCAAAAATTCTGCGGTCACACTGTAGCCAACAAAAACAATTTGTACAAAAAAATTTTTCAAGACGACAACATCGCGAACGCATATTTGAAGATTGAAGATAAAAGATTGTGAAGAAAGCAAATAGTGCACGGTTCGTTGTTTTTTGCGCTGCGATTAACGCGTGTGCCTTTAATGATGTGTGTTAAGGCATTTACAGCGCAATTTTCATGCGGTGGTGCTCGTGCCCCTCCAAAACTTAACAAAAATCCAATGCAGAGGCAGCAAGCAGATACTTATGCCTGCTCCCTGCTGCTGCTAAACAATTAATCAAATAATAATGATGACTGCCCAAGGTGCCAGTGGAAGTGAATCGAAATTATATTGCGCACAATCATCATTATTAGTACGAGTATTATGTGCAGTTGTCTGCGGAGGCGCCCAAAGTACGGCCAAGAAGTCGTGGACAGCGGAGCGCTGCTGCTGCTGCTCGACATAAGGCACAACGGTGGTGCGTCGGTGCACAAGAAAGGCAAAAGAAAAACAAACTAAAACAAGGCCAAGAAGGCCAGAGAAAACAGAAAAGAAAACAAAATACACAAAGTGTGTTCACCATTATCGAAGTGCTTCGCATAGTCCCCCCCTAAGAACGCCACACACCTCCCCACTCGATTCAAATTACGTGGCTCGTGGCAGTGGACAAACCTGCTGCTGCAAAAATCTCAATCTGGATATACTGTACCGCGCACCCACCCCCGTGAACGGCACATAACTTCAGATCCAATAGGAAAAAAAGGAGTACAAGAATCCGAGGAACAACCACCACCGAAATGTCATCGCTCAAGGTTGCCGTGAGGGTTCGCCCCTTTAACACTCGGTAAGCGGCGGTTAGAGGATTAGAGTAGAGTGTTAGAGAGTGTTTGTCCAGACCAGCGATAAAGTGGATGTTTATAGAACGCCCCCTAATGCGTGGGCGAACTGTTGCATTTCCTCTGATTAAATTGAGATTTACATACATATGTATGGCTAGAGCTCCCTCAATAGGAGCAGCTTTTCGATTTGCAAGGCCGTCGACTGCCACGGGATTGCCATAGAACGTGGAAGGTCTTGATTTATTTTTGGTTTTTGGTTAGCCAACTATTACTTGGGAGAATGGCGTGTAATGGCCTGTAATGGCGTGTCTGATGTGGGCTTGCCCAATGTGTCTGTCTGTCTGCCTGAAGCCCCATTCTAGTACCTCTCTTTTGTAGTTGTTGTAATTCTTCGAACCGCCAGCGAACATTTACCTTTTTTTACTCTTTCTGTTTTTGTTGTTGTGTCTTTATCTTGTCTATCTGCGGCGCAGCGGTCATTGCTTTTGGCACAGTTACTTGCGTACAAAGCGAAAGACAGGCAGAAAGAGAGGACAAAAGAGAACTGCTGCCAAACAAAGAAAGATGGAAGGAACCCGTGTAATGATGTCATTCATCTCCTCGCACATTCGATATAAAACTCGCCAAAAACATCACACACATAAGCAAAATATAAGCTATTTTTTTTATAGGTTTTCTCTCGTGTGTTAATTGTGCCTGAAACCGACCAAACAAACAAAAAAACTGTAATTATAATAGCAACTCCCGCCGGGGGCTCCGCTTTGAAGTTGTGACATCATCGTTATCGTAGTAGTGGACTTATGCAAAGCACTCCACTGTTGCCCAGATCCATCCATTGGATACCATTGGTTCATCTGTGTGTTTGGTTAGCCTCCAAACGGGCACATTTCCACGGCTCTCCTCCATCGCAGTCATGCTAGAGTGCCGACTGAATCGACCGAGTGTTCGCAAAACAAAAAACAAAAAAAAGAAGGAAAAACCTACAATAATTATCTACAAGTACGAGTATGTTTATTGCACCCAAATTTGATTCGTAAAAACACTCGCACACACATCTACGAGTTTAGAGCGAATTTTTAGCACGAATCCGAAACCAAAACAAGTTCCCATATTTCTCTCACAATGGATTGTATATGCCTCATGACTCACGGCTCAGACAAACAATTTTTGTTCGTTTTTAGTGGCTGCATGAATGTTTAATTTGAGACATGAATCAACGCTGTCGTCTCTCGGAATTGTCAGTACGAACGAATGCACAACCCAAAATCCCGCTCAAGCAGCTCTCATTCCTGTAATCTCTGGCTCTGGGATGTCTGCTCTCCACAACGGGCCAAAGATTAACGAATTAAAACCACTCAAACGCACTGAGAACCGAAAAGTGCCACAGCCACAGCACAGTAGAGCAGAGCAGAGAACGGCCAAGTGGAGCAGCGCAATCATGCCACGCTATGGGGCAAAGAGAGGAATGACCTAAAACTGCCGCTCGAAATGGGACAAGACATTGCAGTGACTGCCGAGAATGGGAGCGAATGTTAGACCGATTCGTAAATACCCTTGTAATAGTCGAGAATGGAAGGAATGTTTGCTTTGGAAAACGGATCGTTTCGAGGCGGAAATGACTGGCAGCCTGGGTTTCTTTCAAATGCTCGCTATTTTGGTTTTCTCTGCAATCAGCAACGAAAAAGTTCAGCAAAAACTCTCACGTCTCTGGAGAGATGTCCGCTTAAGATAAATGATCTTGAGAGTAATAAATATAAATGGGGAAAAAAGAGATTATTTCTTTCAAACAATAAAGTAATGCCTTTTTCTAGTCCACAATATAACAATATTTATTTACTTTAAGTACTTGTTTAATTCCCATTTCTGGGTAAGCTTATCAGCAATTAATTCATCCTTCAAATGTTCAGAAAACTATGATACAAAAAAATTGATAAAAAAAAATACTAGAATGATACAAAAATAGCTCTAAAGACGAGCCGAAGGTCTATTTGTTAGAAAGCCTATTAATTTTAGAATTAAATGATTTAATTCATTTTGTAAATAAATAAATAATTCTAAAAAATACTAGCATAGGACTAAAAAACATTCCAGAATCGTACTTGATTACTACTCAAATAATCCTAGAAAAATACTAGAAGAAATACTAGAAAACGTACTAAAGAAATCATAAAAAAATACTAGTAAACTCTGGGTAATAAAAACGTAGAAAACTACTGGGATATTGATACCAAAAAGCTCCTAGAGGAAATGATATTGGAATAATCCTGCAGTAATACAAGAATAATACTAGAATAATTGTAGAAAACTTCTGGGATCATACTCTAACAAATTCTAGTCGAGATGCCATAGAAAAAGGGCTTGGGACAATGGGATCTACATATGTATATACTAGAAATCGTATACTTTTTTCGAGTCTCTCTTTTCCAATAGGTTTTCCTCTCTTATTTCTGATAGAAATGACCCCTATGATAGAATAGAGTTCTGAAGAGGAGCAGAATGCTCTCTGGCTATCATTCCATTGAATTGTTTGTGTGGCATCGCGGATGATGGCTCTTCTGTTTATTTTCTTGAATGCTCGAGTATATACCATGCATCTGTGTGTGTGTGTGTGTGTGGGGGTGCCCCTATGAACTCAAGTCAACCGGTTCCCCGTTTCCCCGTTTCTCCGCTTTGCCCATTTCCCCTCCATCTTGGAACGAACGAAATGTTCTATGCCTTGTTTTTCCGTCTCTTTCATTTGTGTCGCTTTTCCTTTTGATGTTGCAATAAAGTTTTCCAGCATTTTATTATGCCCTGCAAACCGGATTTTCATTTATAATTTGTAGCTGTCGCCCGATCACAGAGCTCCAGAGCACCAGAGCACCAGAGCTCTAGACTGTATTTGGAGCTGCCAGTGGAATATGTCAATTGGATTGCATGGCAGGGCAGGGCAGGGCAGGGCACCTCCAGCGGGTGGCAGAAAGGGGCGGGAATTTGTTTAGGGCATGCAAAAATCGTTAATAGGAATATTTATGAGCTGCTGTTGTTTTTTGTTGAAGTAAAAATTGCTTTATTCCGACACGGAAAGTCGTTAAAATGGGGAGATGGAAGTGAAGGCAGGGAGCCGCTCGGAAAGTTATATAAAATCGCAACAATAGCTCTCCATCAACCAACCAAGGCCGCCAATTATTTTAAACAGATAACAAATGAAAATGCCATCCTCTCATCTGTCTTTTTTCTTTGTTGCAGCGAGAATGACATGGACGCACAGCTCATCATGGAGATGGAGGGCAAGAAGACGCGCCTGATGAAGCCCCGGCTGCAGTCGATCCGCGATGCCGGACGGGACAATCATCATGACTTCACCTTCGACTACTCGTATTGGTCGTTCGATGCAGAGGATCCGCACTTTGCCACCCAGGAGCAGGTGTACAGCGATCTCGGCAACGATGTGGTCGATTGTGCCTACGAAGGTGAGAGACGCTCCACCCCGCGATGGCACCCCGCACCCCATTCGGATGGCTGTCTGTCTGTCTGTCTGTCCCGTGACGCATTAACCCCCGCCCAACTAATTGCCCCCCGTTTTCACGGGGTCTCTGCCACATGACAGCTAGATTTTTCCCATTAGCCGCACACAGAGACACCCACAACAGCCGAGAGTTTTCTCTTTTTTCGCTTTTCTGTTTGCCTGCACTTACGGTTTTGTTTACATTTTCTTTGTGCGTCTGCTTATTGGCTTCGCCATGGCCGAAGGTGGGGAGGGGCAGGGGGAGGGGGTGGTTTCCCCCAAAATGTTCCTTATTGTAAACACCATTTGGGTCTAAAAATAGGAGCTCCACTGTACACACAACCCAAGACCAAACTTCGACTCGAATGAATATGAATGCGCCGCTTGGAATAATCATGCAAATTTCCGGCTGCCGGCTGGATGCCACTCGAGTGGAGGAGGAGGAGGAGTCATCAGGCTGGGCGCCCCTCTGGCGGCCTTGGGGGCTAGATTTGATCGATTGATGGCCACCGCCGGAGGTGGGATTCGGTGCCTGGGTGTCACGTGCCTTCCGAAGATTTTCCCTGCAATTAATGCGTAGTTTTTTTTTACGCGCTTTCACTTGAGCAAAAACTAATTTATTATTTCATTGCAAACCTGAAAAGGAAGGCAGACTCTTTTGATACCCTTCCAAAGACCATGAGCAACTCCTTTGTTGTAGTTTTTGCCAAAGGAAATCAGAAGAAAAGTCACGTTTTATTCAGCCGGAAATGGCTTTTGCAGAACCGGAGATGCTTCAAATTGTAATACCCCCCCACTTCAAGGGTAACGAAACAAAGCAACAAATAAAACTAAAACTAAAACAAAAACAGAAACAAAAAAAACAAAAACAAAAACTTTCGCCCACAACAGAAACGGAAAATGGCAAGCGAAATGGAACAGCTGTCGGCTGCTTGGATGTCGGCTGCCTGGCGTCTGCTGTTTGGCACGCTTTCAATATTGAATTACAAGCAGAGGCCGAAGATTGGCCAACAGGGAAGTGGATGGGGATGGGGCATGGGGATTGGGGCATGGGGATTGGGGCATGGGGATTGGGGCATGGGGCCTGGGAATGACAAACATTTGAATGAATTATGCAGTTAGGAAAACAAGCCATAAACAAACTGCATAAACTGCAAGTGGCGTCCCACTGGCTCCGATGACTCGTCTCGGAGTCTCCGCCATGTGGGACGGGGGGACTGCCTGCCTAAACGCTGGACAGATGGCCAGTTGTTGTTGCGCCACTTGTGCGGTCTCAGATGACACGATGGAAAAGCTAATCTTACACACCTGCCTGAGCGCACTTCTGTTAACCGCCCAGTGGGCGTGATATGTCTGTCTATCCCCCACTCCACGGGACGCCACGTCACGCCACGCCATTCCACTTTCTGTTTTTCTCGACTCCCTGTTGACGGGGGGGGCGCCAGAGATTTCGTCACGACTTTTTGAATGCAACATCTTTGACGGTGAATCATCTGTATTATGACATCAACAATGCCATTTATGGTGCCGCGATCTCACAAAAAATACTATTAAGTGGATAATTATCCTTGAGACTAGCAGCGTCTGCTATAGATAGAAGAATGCTTGGGGGCTGACCCTAAACTTTAATGGGATCAGTGTCAATGCAGATAATTCAAATCTCACAGTAACAAAAAGTGGAAAATCAGCTTATCTGCCATTTCCACCTTGTTCAAGTTCATTGCAGCAATTTCCAGTTGCAGCAGAGACCCCATAATCGATCTGTCGGGAAGATCTATACTCTGTAGGGCTGAGGGCTTTGCTGCCATTGAGCAAAAGAGCAGACATTGCGTGTGCATGATCCCTCCGCTTGCAGCAGAGCTTCTCCCCTGACATGCGCTGACAGAGTGGGAATGTGCCATTCCCATGGACACGCTCGAATGAATGGATGGTAACCTTTTAACATTTGCTTCTTGCAGGCTACAATGCATGTGTGTTCGCCTACGGACAGACGGGCTCGGGCAAAACCTTCACGATGATGGGCACGCCGAACAATCCGGGCTTGATACCGCGCATCTGCGAGGAGCTGTTCAATCGCATGCGCGTGGGCCAGGAGTCGGGCACGGGCTATCGCACGCATGCCAGCTACCTGGAGATCTACAACGAGCGGGTGAAGGATCTGCTGGCGGCACAGAGCACCGGACACGGGCTGAGAGTGCGAGAGCATCGGAGTCTGGGCCCCTACGTGGAGAATCTGTCGCAGCATGCGGTGTCCGATTTCGATGAGATTCAGGTGAGTGAATCTTGAGTGGATCTTTTAATCATACTCATTATGTACGTCCCTTGCAGGAATGCATTGCTCGAGGGAATGCGCAACGCACCACGGCCAGCACAAACATGAACGACACGAGCAGTCGCAGTCACGCCATCTTCACGATCACATTTGTGCAGGCGGTCTTCATGAATGACATGCCAAGCGAGACAGTCTCGAAGATCCATTTGGTCGATCTGGCTGGCAGGTGCGTAAGCGGAGCATGAAGCTCTAGAAAGCGCAATGACTCTCCTCTCCCCTTCTTTATTTGGTATTTAGTGAGCGTGCCAATGCAACGGGTGCGACGGGTCAGCGCCTGAAGGAGGGGGCGCACATCAACAAGTCCCTGGTGACGCTGGGCAGCGTCATATCCGCTTTGGCGGAGCAGACGAGCGCCGCACACAACAACTCGACGTTGGCCACAACCCCGAACAGTGCCAGCAAGCGGGTGCTGTACATACCCTATCGCGACTCCATTCTCACGTGGCTCCTGAAGGACAGTTTGGGTGGCAACAGCAAGACAATCATGATTGCAGCCCTGTCCCCAGCGGACTGCAACTACAGCGAGACCCTGAGCACCTTGCGGTACGCCAATCGAGCGAAGAATATCATCAACAAGCCCACAGTTAATGAGGATTCCCATGTGAAGCTGATTCGAGAGCTCAGGGAGGAGATCAACAAGCTCAAGTCCATGCTTGCGGGTGACATTGTAAGTCGGAAGTCAGGGGATGGCAGGATGTTTCCGATTGGTTCTGATTACTCTTTTGTTCTAGCAATCATTGCAGCCGTCTCTCAAGGTATTGGCCGATCTCCAGAAGAAGGAGGCACAGGAGAAAGTACTCACCGAAGAGTGGACGGAGAAATGGAAGGTGGCCCAGTCGATTCTGCAAGAGCAAAAGAGCCTGGGTCTGCGTAAGTCCGGTGTGGGCGTGGTCCTCGACTCAGAGATGCCGCATCTGATTGGCATCCACAACGATGTGACCACCGGAGTGACCCTCTACAGCCTCAAAGAGGGAGAGACGCGCATTGGCACCGAGGAGGCGGAGCTGTCGCAGGATATCGAGCTGGCGGGCGACGGAATCCGGGCCCAGCATTGCAGTATTGTTCTGAAGGGCGGCGTGGTTACGCTGCATCCCTGGCCCCTGGCCCAGTGCTGGGTGAACGCCCATTTGATTGACGAACCCAAGCAGATCTCGCAGGGCGACATCATACTGCTGGGACGCACGAACATCTTTCGCTTCAACAATCCCGCGGAGGCGGCCAAGCTGCGCAAGGACTTGAGTCGTTCGCAGCTGGACATGTCGCGACTGTCGCTGATCACGTCGTCGAAGGAGAACCTGCTCACGTGCAGCATTTATTCGGACGAGGATGGGGCATCGCCCTATAAGCGCCCCGAACGGCAGTATTATCCTCAGTGTCCCATGTCGCGGGACGATCCAGAGTTGCAGGATGAGAATCGCAAGATTCTCGACACCATCGAGAATGCCTTGAAGCAGCTGAATGTGGTAGGTGGTTGCGGAGAATGCAGTGAAGCCAACAGACGGCGATAACCTATTCTGTTCTCATAGGAACGCGTTCAGATGCACGACCAATACAAGACGAAGGTGAGGAAGCTGACAGAGGAACTGATACGCCTGGAGCAGGAGGAGATGGATGGCTTGCAGCTACTGAATTGTCGCGAACAGGAGCTGGTTGCCCGCAAGGATATGCTGCTGTGGGAGAAGACCAACGAGAAGGTTCAGGTGCGTCTCCCGGATCCTTACTGTGGCATGCAATGTGAATGGATTGATCTTTTGCGTGCTTGTTATATGCCTGTCTATCTCTGGCTGCCGTCTCTTTTCTCTCTCTCTCTCTTTCTGTACTTATCATTTCCTATGTTCTGGCTTTTGTTCCTTATGATTTTTCCGTTCGTTCCATTTTCGTTTTAGATCGACATTGTGTGTAGACAAATTTCAGCGTTTCAGACGCAGCTCGACTCTAAGAAACGCGATTTCTCTGAGTATGTAGCGAAAGAATTGCAGGAACTGCAAGATTGTGGCAAACTGGACGAGGTTTGTTGTTTGTTTTTGTTTTAGAACTCGTTTGCCTAGAACTACAGTAGTTAGCCGTAGAAAAAGAAACACAACAAGTGTCTAACCAAAAATATTAATAAAAATCTTTTATAGATGGGCATGAAGATCGAGGAAGGCACTCCTCTGAATGATGAGCTGCTGTTGCAGGTCTCTGATTCGTTGGATCTGTTTGCCGCTCAATTTATTAAGGACACTGTTCGCAGAAATGTAAGACTCACTCTGAAAAACCCCCCTAAATGTATATGAATCATTAAACCACTTTACAGAATGAGGAAATACGTAAACTGGATGAGGAGATAGCCGAAAAGGAGCGCATTCTCAATGCCAGCACCAGCAAGATAGCCAAAGTGGATGAGACCATGCTGGAGATCCAAGCTCAATTGGAGCGACTGCGTCTGGAACGCGCCGAGAGCGAGGCCGAGGCGCAGGCGATGCGTGCCAGGAAGCAGACTATGAAGCTGCAGCTCAGCAACAAGTCCTTGTCCATGTCCACCTCGACCAGCACAAACGAGGCAGACGATGTGTCCAAATCGGACACTTATGAGACCTGTGATACCTTCCATACCGCCCAATCGAATTTCTCGCTTGTCTCATCGCCCACCATCACGGAGGGCCAACAGACGCCGCTCAGCAACTGCTCCTGCGAGGCAGAGGATGAGGCGGAAGACACGCGCAAGGATGACGACATTTCAGGCAGCAGCGAAGATGCCTCACGCACCTGCACTGCCGGCCCAAGCAGCGGTAGTGGCAGTGGCAGTGTCAGTACCAGCACCGGAGGTGGTGCACCCAGTGCAACGCCCAGCTCGCAGGCTATAATGAGCGACAGTGGCGTGTGCCTGGACAGCCGAACACAGGCGCTGCTCCAGAATGGACACGTCAACAATTATAAGCAGAGCGTGCGCACCAGTGACGAGGATACGGGCTCCTGCTCCTCCTGTGAACTAGGTCGGCACTCGGATATCTCGCGTCCGTATTGTCCGCTGCACTCGCTGCGCCGCAAGATTGCCGCCCAGAAGGCATTGATCATGAAGAACCTCGAAACGGACCTGAACAAGACCCAGTTGGATGAGCAAATTGCAGATCTGCAGGATCTGCAGAGACGCTACATTCAAATGGAGCAGGAAATGCTCCAGAGCGTGCAGGACTTGGAGGCGCACGCCCAGTGCTGTGCCGACGAGCGGTCCGGAATGGAGCGGCAGTACGAGCTGGCGAGCTCCATTATGCGATCGAGTGTGATGAGCCCCACCAGCATGGAGGAGTCCACATCGCAAATCTATCCACCCAGCATGACAAGATCCTGCCCATCTATGCGGGAGTTTCGTAAGTAGCAAAGTCTGTCCCTTCCATGGTCTTTGGACTTCAATGTGCTCTTCTGTCTCTCCCATTCAGCGGCTGAGGGCGATCACTTCATAACGATACCCTCCTTTGTGATGCGTGGAGCTGGCAAGCAGACGCACTACGAGTACGAGGTGCGCATCGCCCTGCCCGATGGCAAACTGAACATTCTCCGACGCTACAGTCGCTTCCGGGAGCTGCATTTATGCATGAAGCACTGCTATGGAGCCAAGGTAGCGTATCTCAACAGGAAAAGGCACACAATTTACTTATATTATTCCCACGTTGTGTCCACTGTAGATCTCTGCATTACCATTCCCACGCCGAGAGCTCTTTGCGTCGAACAGCGAGCCAGTAGCCAAGCATCGTCGACGCCTTTTGGAGCTCTACTTACGTCGGCTTTTTGTGGTCTGCTCGAAGATACCACAATGCCCGATATATGAGGGACCTGGGGGACCGGGCCTCACGCGGGCCTCTCTCGTCCAGCTGTCGTCTTTTTTCAAGAAGGGCCTGTTCGAGAACGGGAAGCATGGGACGGGATAATAGTTAACCTACTGCTGAATTATCTCCTGCCTACAGTGTGTCTTTTTATTTATTTGTACTACCTGTTAAGCTATATGAACGACAACATGGACCTGTTTTGAGTAGCTATCTCCCAAGTATGTACTAAGTAGAGTAATTATAAAAAAGAGCGAAATAAATGTGTAAGCCCTTAGAATTGTAAGACCACCAGTGTCCTTTCAACCACTTTTTTTTATACATACATATATACCAATTGTTATTATTATGAACTGTAACTGTAATGGAGCTTTATATTAAACACACACACACACACACACACACTTGAAACTGTAAAACTCTAAAACTGTAACTGCCAGTGGCAATGTGTTGCAATCACTGAGATAATTACTAGAACTAAGTGCAAAAATATGTCTGTTAAAATGTCACGTTGAGAATTGTTTAGATTGGTTTGAAATGGTATGGTATGGCAGGATGGTATGTATTTCGATTTTGGCCCAAGCACTGTTTTGCTGGCGCATTTTAATTAGTTAATTATTCCTCAAACGATAGTTAAATATACAAATACTTCCGAAAGTTATTCCAGTTATTAAGTCTGTGATTATATCAATTGAAAGTTATCAACACGGAATCTGTAACTGAATCTGTATCGTGTACCCAAGCGAACACAAATCCAACAACTGACAAACTCTACAATCTACTTAGGCTTAAGATAATTGTATAAACAGGAGCACTGTAGACGGGTCTAGGTGGGCGGATATTTGGCAGTAGGTTATTCGATTATAGCATGTAAGAGTATTTACACTTAAGTTGATGATTGTCGCAATTATTTAGTAAATTAATTATGAGTACAACTACTTGAAAATGATGAAACAAACATGAAATGTTCAATGTAAGGAAACGCGTTTAGATACAATACTTTATATACACGATTTATGATATTATGATGATTGCAATAAGTGAAACAATAATAGCGTAAATCCCCTCTCTCGGGCAGGCCAATCCCGATTTACCGATGACAGTAGGTGTGCGGGTGTGCTGGCCCAAAAATATACACAATATACGTAATTATACACAACAAAAAGTGTTTAAATCTTGTTTTAATTAATAGTACGCGTATTTTTTTTGTATTTTACATACAAATGTAGATGCAATGTAATGTACATGTACGTGTACATGACATGTAATCTACATGGTATTTTAAGCTTAAAAGCTTTTGCTGTTATTGAGATCGAAGCGACCTTTTTCCTCCGCAACGGCCTGCAATTTGAATTGCACAAGAATTATTGTATATCCCAGAATGGTGACAATCAGCTGAAAAATATTTGATTAGAAGACAGCTCTAAATAACGTTGTATTTGCAATGTAGTACCCCGCCAAAGTTCTTCAGATTGATATCGAAGAAACCTCCGCAGGTAAAGAGCAGTCGGAGGTGTTGCAGCTGCAGGCAGTATTCCCGCAGGCCCATGGATAGTGCTGGAAAATTGTTTGCCACAGAGAGGCAACGAATCTGATGGAGAATGCGTGGAAAACTATTGTACTGAAAGGGATTGAGAGATGAGGTTCTGTTCAGGTGGAAATTTAAATAGAAACACTCACGGCATTGACGCAACGCTGGCTGAGATAGCAGGCCACTAGAGGATTGATCAGCAGCAGAACACAGTTGCCGAGTCTCACTATAGAAACGACAGATTTTCAGTTGAAGGAATTTAGTAGATACTTAAGAGAGAGACTTACCGTAGCGACAGCAATCAGCCGGATTGAATTGGTTGATATAAGCCCAGTTAACTACGTGCAGAATGGTAAGACCGTTGAACAGGAACAGAAACATCATGGGCAGCGTAAAGTACTTCTCCAGTTCGCCCACCAATCGCCAGACACGGCCGAGTAGCTGCTGATTGCGTCGCAAAGCCACGCACAGAGCCTGCAGCATGTCGCGCTGATTGCAGTCGGCCAGCTCCACCTGCAGCTGCCTCAGAGTGTGACGCAGGCGGAGCACCAGCTCATAAACCATCACCACGAACACGCAATACTCCAGGCACTTCAGCTGCAACATTATTAGTACCAGCTCAGAGAGAATTTTGCTGGGCCAGGACACAAACGGACCCATAGCCTCAATAGTGAATCGGGGCATCAAACCGACCAGCGCGACGAGCCACAGGCCACAATTGGTGGCCAAACGGTAGCGAAAACTGTTATGCCCCGGCTGTCCGCCAAAGCACTGGGAGGCATCATCAATCTCCATTTCCAGATCTGCAATATCCTCATAAATGTGGCCCAGACGACGGTAGTTCAGGAGCATGTTCAGATGAATGACAATGCCCATGGAGGCGAGCACAACCTTCTGCACTCTGCCCATGGCTCTGGTAAAATCTTCCAGCTTGAACTGTTCGATTTCCGCGTTCAAGGCCAACACATTCACATACGACATACATATGAGAACCCCAAGTAAAATGAGCGAATAAAATCCATATCCCACAATCAAGAACCGCCTCAGACGCCTATTTGTGGTCCTGTCAAAAAAGTTGGGCGGAGGCGTCAGCGCGAACACGGAGAATATCTGCAGATACGGACGAGCTGCGGCCAGCAGACGGCGACGACCCTTCATGTCTACCAAATCCCAAGGAACTGAAACGAGCTTCAAGGTGGGCCAATCGAGTAATGTGCAGTTAATTTCTTTAATTAGTCGGATAACGCGGCGCAATGATCGATGGTGGTTTGTGGCTCTATGGCCTTTGAAGATCTTTATCCCCAGTGCCTGTCCCATTTTCACATCAAAATGCTGGTAATTTCAATTTTCCTTTCCATGCAAATGTGGGTTAAATTGTTTTTATCTTGGCTGGGCAATCAGCATTGCGAGTGTCTCAGTGGGTGTGTGTGTGTGTGGGTCCCCTCTATTGCTATCCTTTGCATTGCAATTGCATCTGCATTTCAATCCCCACTACCCAGCCCCAGCCCCAGCCCCAGCCCCAACCCCGAACTCTACCTCTAGCTTCAGCTCCATCTGTCGCTTTCAATTGCTCCACTTTCTTGCTTCATTTTCCATTTTGTGCACATAATTGCACTTCTTGTGAGCTAAAATGTGCAAACATTTCCCCATCATACCCATCCACCTATGCACCAGACATGCCCCCCCCCCACCCCCCATTCATGGAAGGCAAATCAAATGAAAACACCCTCAGACCCCGTGGCAGGGACTAGGGACCAACGACTGGGGACCGGGGACCGGGGACCCGCCTGCTAATCCCAGTGCTCGCTGAGACCCTCGTCGGGTTTGGCAATACATTGACTGGATTAAGTATCCTTTTTAATTTTTAACTACTTCACTTCACTTTGCACAGGGAATGAGAGCCGTACTCGTATTCGTGTCGTCCATCTATGGTTGGGTGGGGGCTTGGCTTGGGTTCGTTTTTTATTTTACTTTGGCTGTGCCATGCATGTGGCCTTTCGAGTCCTTTTCTTTTAAGCTTGATTAAGCACTTTGTGTAACTCTATGACAGGGACATGCATTTGCATGCTGGACGGCCAGGACGCCAAGCCAATGGCATTTTTAATTTTCTACAGCTACATATTCTGATCCAGCTCGAGAGTGGGTCGTCTCCCATGTCCCATTTTGCACTCTCTCTGGCTGAAGGACAGTGAAAATAGCTATGCATTAGCATCTGCAGAGCTCTCGTGGCAACAGCCCGGTGCTCGCTCTTTCAACGTGCATGATTCTCATTTATTATGCACTGCAGGGATGTAACAATGACTTTGGATTATTGTTTCCTCCCAGCCTCAACAAACAATTGAATACACAATAAAATTAAATAATTTTTAACAAGCCACAGGAAAACGGAAGTCCTCATCCATACACACGCACACACACACGCACACACACAGTCCCGACCATAATAGGCAATCTCTGCTCGTGGCACACAGATACGAATATTGTAAATATGTAAATATATACACATACGAGTATGAGTATGATTACGAGTATGAGTACGAGTATGACTACTCGTATGTGCCGTGCCTTTGAATATATAGTTTTTTCCATTGGCTTTTATCATTCTTACTATAAATATATTGTATATTGTTTAAATTGCATTAAGTCAAAAAAAAAAACGCCAATATATACGAGTATGGATTTATTTTATTCGCAAAGGTAAATAAATTCATATAGAGGCAATGTGTTTAAGGCCGTGTCTGTCTGTGTATGTTTCTGCGTTGTCTGCGTGCAATAAACAAATAAAATTTTATTATTTATGTATTCATGGCCATTAAACGGATATCCGGGAGCACATTGCGCATTAAATTGCACTGCAAACCCATCCATCTCTCATACCACACCCACTTCTCAGACCAGACTCGACCAGGCGGCACCCTGCCAAGGCACTCATTGTCGTCTCTACAGGCATCCACAAAGCGGATCACATGGCTGTTGCCATGGCCACCACTGTAATGCACATGTGCAAGCCGAAGCAACAAGGATTCACCGCAGCTTAAAGCCGTGAAAACAAGAGAACAATCATTGAATGCACTTTTTTTTTTAAACTTCAAGAATTTTTAGGATTTGTATCGGTTTCCTGTAACGATTGTGAAGTGTCTTTCATGATTGAGGCTTTCCGTTCTCTCCGGGCTAGCATCCTTGATGGCTACTCCATTCAGATACTGTGTTAATGAGCCCCGGTGTAGCTATGATTTACTGAATTTTTATTTCAAAACTTTAGTATTTTCTGGGAGTTTTGAAACTGCAGTTTCCGCTTTGTTCGCCTACTTGATTCAATGGTGCTGCTGGCTTGCTAATTACTATACCAATACAATACCCAGCTACAACTATGGCTAACTAAATTCCCGCAGAGGACTGCACCATCTGCGATAAGCTGCCCCAGAGCAATAAACATTTTGTTATCCGTAGGGGAAACACTTGCCCCAAATTCGATGAAGTTTCAGGAAATATCAATTGACATGGATAAGCAGCCTGGCGGAATGGTAGCGGTGTCTGGTTGTCTGGCTGTCTGCTAGTCTGCTAGTCTGTTCTCGATTCTCAGCTCGGATCTCGGCTTGCGGTCGGTGGTTTTACTTGGTTTGACTTGGCGCTGGTGAAGGTCTTAGTG